CCCCCATCTCATTACCCCCCACCCAATTCCCCCCCACCCAATTCCCCCCCATCTCATTGCCCCCCGCCAGGCGATGCGCCTGCAGCTGCTGACCGCCCTGGGGGCGGTGGGGGGCGCGGGCTGTTCCCTGCTGGCCGAAGGGGTGGGGGCCGCAGCCACGCGCTGGATCCTCCCCTTCACGGCGGGGGGCTTCATCTACGTGGGGACGGTGGCCGTCCTCCCCCAGCTGCTCCGAGAGGACGTCCCCATGCAGTCCCTGCTGCAGCTGGCCGCGCTGCTGGCCGGGGTGGCCATGATGGCGGCCATTGCTCAGTGGGAGTGATTGGGGGGCTGGGGGGGTCTTTGGGGGGATATGGGAGGGATGGGGGGGATTATGGGGGGCTTTTTGTAGGAGGTGTTCAATAAAAGAGTGATCGATGACGTGGGGACGTGGAGGACCTCAGTGGGACCCATGGGGACATCAGTGGGACATGGAGACCCCAATGGGACATGGAGACCCCAATGGGATCCATGGGGACGTCAGTGGGACATGGAGACCCAATGGGGACCCAATGGGACACGAAGATCCCAATGGGACCCATGGGGGCATGGAGACCCCAAGGAGACATGGAGGACCCCAAAGGGACATGAAGACCCAAAGGGACATGGAGGACCTCAGTGGGGACCCATGGGGACATATGGGGACATGGGGACACCAATAGGATCCATGGGGACATCAGTGGGACGTGAAAACCCAATGGGACACATGGAGGACCCCAATGGGACATGGGAGACCGCAAAGGGGACCCATGGGGACATATGGGGACATGGAGACCCCAGTGGGACATGGGGACACCATGGGGACCCAATGGGAGATGGAGGACCCCAATGGGATCCATGGGGACGTCAGTGGGACATGAAGACCCCAATGGGACCCATGGGGACATATGGGGACATGGGGACCCCAATGGGACCCATGGGGACATGGAGGAACTCAATGGGGATCCATGGGGACATATGGGGACACGGAGACCCCAAAGGGACATGGAGACCCCAATGGGACATGGAGGACCCCAATGGGGACGGCCCCATGCAGCCCTAGTGGCCCCCAGTAGCCCCCAGTGCTCCCTCAGTAGCCCCCGGTAGCCTTCAGTAGCCCCCAGTGATCCCCAGTAACCCCCAGTAACCCCCAGTAGCCCCCCAGTAGCCCCCAGTAATCCTCAGTGGCCCCAAGTAGCCTCCCAGCATCCCTCCC